AGGACTCATTCTTAAAATCCCGAAGTATTATTCCCAAGAGCCTTCTATGCCTCACCTAGACAGGCCTCTTTCCTCTTAACTTTCATGCCACTTTGGGGAAGCCGAAGCTCCGCGAGTAGCCGCCTGTGGCCTGGGTCCCGCGCCGCTCTTATTTGGGAACGGGGTCTGGGTCTCCAACGTGCCTGTCAGGCCTGTGGCCGCCAAACCGGCAGCCCGAGCGCGGCTGAGGAAAGGCTTCATCGCTCCGCATCGGCCTCTGCCCCCATTTTCAGTGGCCGGCCGCTGGGCTTTGGTTTGTGGCGTCCAGGCCGCTAGGGCTCCGGTTTTAGCTCTTGGGAACCAGTAGCACTGAACGTGCGCACCACTCTCCTTTGGGGAGCGGAAGATGCGCTTAGGGGTCTTGGTCCTCCCTTTACCGCCTCATCTTCCACTGAGGGTCTTGCGCGTAGGAGGTGGTCGTGTGGAGTGCGCCGGAGGTAGGGGTAGGTGCCCAAGTGCTAGCTAGCTTCCATGGTTCCTCAAAACGCCTACTTCCTAATTCCCAATCAGCGGAACCAGTGTAAGATTCCTGGCCTTGGGCGGCGTGGTCGCAGACCCACTCCTGGGCTGTTGAAGTCCACCTTCGCTTAGATCGCCCTGCGGGCCCCACCTCTCAGTCCAGGCGCTGGCCGCTTTGCTGAAGTTCCTCATTTTGCCACAGACTGGTGGACCTGGCTTATTCTTGCACACCCATTCAGGATTTTGTGAGGATCTTGACTCCCTAGACCCAAAGAGCTTCACATGTCATTTCCCTGCCTCATTTTAGCATCTGAGAGGAGAATAGCAAAATAGGAATGAAATTCTGCGGTGGAGACTGGCTCAATGCCATGCATTTAATATAGGCCTAACAAATGCTTGTTCAGTTGAACTGGACTGATAGATTCTCAGTGGAGCAAGGGCAGGTGTTATGCCTACTCTGGGTTCCCAGTGGGCTTCTAGGATCAATTGTTTATGGACTCGAGGTAAACTGAGCTGGGAATTAAAAAAACCTTCACTCATTCATTTGCTTTTTCAGCAGATATTTACTGAGCACCCACCACATGCCAGCACGTGGTTTCAGGCTTTAGTTCAAATCTTAATTCTGCCATTTCTTGAGGATTTGGCTTCAACACTCCTCATAACTCTTCTGTTATTTCGTCATCTATAAAAGGAGACTTGAGGGGTTATGGTGAATATTAAAATGATGAGATAATGTGACTGAGTGTTATGTATAATACAGCTTGATGTTATTTGGGCCACTGAGAAACGGGGTCTGAACAGACCTCCAGGTCCTGCCCCATCCTGAACTGCAAAGTCTATACCAAGGACAGACTGGGAAACAGATAGGAGTGAGTGCATGACTTTCCTTTTTCCTTCAGTCATAGATTTGCATCCCTAAGAAGGCTTTTATGAGGCTGAAGAGTACATTTTAGAGAGTTCCAATATAATAACAGAACTAGTGTTCACCAAGTTAGATCAATTCTACTTTTAGCTCTTTTATCAGCCTCTTTGTTTCCATCTCTGTTGTCACTACCTTCTCTTCCCCCATGACTGAGTCTCCTCAGAGGTCTCCTTGCCCCTTGTTCCCTCCAACATGTCATACAAGTCTTGATGACATCCCACTGTTCAGATTAAAATCCATTTAGGGCCTTACTATAACCCAAGATAAAATTTAAATGCTGTAAGTTGAGCCCCTACCTATTGTGCCAGCCCCTCTGTTGTCATCTCCTTCACATACCCTAAGCTACTGAATGCTTTCTGGGTGAGTCAAACTCTGATACCCTACAGGTCTTTGCATTTTTTGCACCTACCTGGAATGCTAGTTTCCCTGATCTCTGGTTAGGTGGACAATCAGGACTCATTCTTAAAATCCCGAAGTATTATTCCCAAGAGCCTTCTATGCCTCACCTAGACAGGCCTCTTTTCTCTTAACTTTCATGCCACTTTGAATATACTCAGACATACTGGTGTGATAGCAGGACATATTTGTATATCTGGTTCCTCACTAGATTGTGAGCTCCCTGAGGGCAAGGTTGTGTCTCTTAATGGTGTTACCATCTAGCGCAGCACGTGATATGTTGAGAATCAGACTGATTAGGATAGAACTCCTAAACTTACTAGCTGTGTGACCTTGGGCATGTTACGTATAACCTTTCTGCCTCATGTTTTCATATCTGTAAAATATTGCTAATGAGTATAGTGCTTACAAGAATTATTGTAAAGACTAAATAGCAAAACTCTTGTGAGCTCCTGGTATATAGCTGGCACTCAGGATAGACATGGCTATAGAGTGCCCTCCATAAATATTTGTTGAATCAACTCGGCAGAATTTAGGGAGGGTACTATTACGCTGTATGCCTACTAGGTACCAAGCACTGTGCTAGAGAGGAGTGCAGTTTTCGTGGTCTAAATGGGAGTCTTAATTGTTGCCTTTTAGGGATATGGGTCCTGAGCTCCCAAATCGTTGGATGTGTGGTTCACCTGGGTGTTTGTTAAGAATGCAGTGCGACGTTGCCCTCTGTCGCTCGCTGATCGTAGCCCGAGGTCAAGCTTGGGCGCCCTCACAAAACCAGTACCACTCTGGTGTCTTCGACTTTGCTGGCTTCACCCTTCCCAAACCTGTTCTTTGCCGCTCGCGGCCCCACTGCACATTTTCAACAGGCCGATGTGGCCCCGCCTACCTCGCGCCCACTGGGGGCGGAGCCTGCGGCGCATCGCTAACGTCACTTCCAGCGGACACGGAAGCGCCGTTGTCGGCAGATGTAGTTAGGAAGTCGTGATGGGTAAGCGTAAGCCTCTGGCCGACGTGGGCCGAGGGGGCCGGCCCGGGCTGCTGTGGCCCAGACGAGCGGAGAGTGCGGAGCGGCTTCTCGGCCAGCGCTGACGAGCCCTGGCAGTGCGCGCGCCTCTGGTGCCAGTGTTGCTCCGCCTCCGGGATAGAATCCGCCCCAGCCCTCTGGGCCTGGGACCCGGCGGCCGCTTTCTCCAGTCCGTCCCGCCGATCCGCATTAGGTCCGGGATAACTGGGTGGAGTAGGTGTGCGGCCCGCCGCCGGAGAGCCCGCTAGCTGTTTCTTTAAGCCCCCCTCTGCGTCTTCGCGGCCCTCTCCCGTTCTGTCAGAAAGCTGACGTGGGGCAATCCGTTCAGAACCTCCATGGAGAAGTTTGGGATGAATTTCGGAGGCGGCCCGAGCAAGAAAGACTTGCTGGAGACTATAGAGACGCAGAAGAAGCAGCTTCTCCAGTATCAGGCACGGCTCAAGGATGTGGTCCGTGCCTATAAAAGCCTACTGAAGGAGAAAGAGGCGCTAGAGGCCAGCATCAAGGTGCTGTCGGTATCCCACGAGGCAGATGTGGGCCTCGTAGGTGTCCAGCTTCCAGGCCTCACATTTCCTGACTCTGTGGATGACCGGTGCTCCACTCACAGCGAGGATAGCACTGGGACCACCACTAGCTTGGATACTGCGGCCAGTCTCACCAGCACCAAGGGTGAGTTTGGGGTAGAAGATGACAGACCGGCCCGGGGACCACCACCTCCAAAGTCTGAAGAGGCCAGTGGGTCCGAGAGTGGCGTTAGCAGTAGCAGTGGGGATGGGCCATTTGCAGTTGGGGAGGTGGACAAAAGACTGCACCAACTGAAGACTCAGTTGGCTACTTTGACTAGTTCTTTGGCCACAGTCACTCAGGAGAAGTCCCGCATGGAGGCTTCTTACCTGGCTGACAAGAAGAAGATGAAACAGGACTTAGAGGATGCCAGTAACAAGGCGGAGGAGGAGAGGGCCCGCCTGGAGGGAGAATTGAAGGGGCTGCAGGAGCAAATAGCAGAAACCAAAGCCCGGCTTATCACACAGCAGCATGATCGGGCCCAAGAGCAGAGTGACCATGCCTTGATGCTGCGTGAGCTCCAGAAGCTGCTGCAGGAGGAGAGGACCCAGCGCCAGGACTTGGAGCTTAGGTTAGAAGAGACCCGAGAAGCCCTGGCAGGACGAGCATATGCAGCTGAACAGATGGAAGGATTTGAACTGCAGACCAAGCAGCTGACCCGTGAGGTGGAGGAGCTGAAAAGTGAACTGCAGGTCATTCGAGATGAGAAGAATCAGCCAGACCCCCGGCTGCAAGAACTTCAGGAAGAGGCTGCTCGCCTTAAGAGCCATTTCCAGGCTCAGTTACAGCAGGAAATGAGAAAGGTAATTATCCACATCTTTTTCAAACATCAGTCATTGACCTGAAGTGAGAACTATTAGGGTTTGTTTCCTCCTTTGCTAGTTAGAGCTAAGTGTCTACAGTGTCATTTTTGATGCTGCCTGAGAAGTTCCACTAGAGAACCTGGGAAGTCCTGTTCTATGTGGTGTTGACGTGTGTGCTTCCAGGAGGATGTGGAGCTTCTCAGTGGAGGCTGGGTTGAAGCCAGACAGCTCTGCACTTCTGGGCATTGGCATCTTACCAGCTGTGGTCTATGAAGCAGTATAGCAGCATCTGTACAGTAAAAGGTAGTGTGTCCAGTAAAAGGTAGTGTGTCCAAAGGTTCTGTGGGTATGTGCTTCTAGGGAGGGTGGCTGAAGGCAAAGGGGATTTTCTCAGAAGTAACCTCTTGTCATTGCCTTTACTCAAGATTTACCTGTTTTGGAGAAGTGCTATACCAGAACAGGTATTGAAAGGGTGCCTCCTTTCAATGTGGAGAGGGAAATCCGGCTCAGTTTTGAACTTCCAGGAATATTGGATAAGGAAAAGAATGTTGTATGATTTCTTAATAGGATTTGAGGAAGCACCAGAAAAACAACAGTAACACACATTACATGTGAGTTAGGTGGAAAGCAGAACAATAGCAGATATACCAAGGTGCTTAATATTGTTCGGTATATGTGTTTTGCAGAACCCAAGCAGGTAATAGGAACTTTTGTTAGCTCCTGAAGCAACCGAAAAATCCCTAGTTCACATTCTTGCCAGGCCATCCCAAACCTGTGACCCTTTTGCTCCCCTCTCCTTCGAAACCAGAAACTGGTTTCTCGAAGTTTGCTGTGGGGCTTTTGTGGATGCATTTTTGTCTGTTCCCTTGTTTTCCAGACAGCTCTTGCAGAGGATCAACTCCGTCAGCAATCTCAGGTGGAAGAACAGAGGGTGGCAGCCCTGGAAAATCAAATATCCGAGGTGTCTGAGCTGCTAGGCACCTACGAGAAAGCCAAGCAGAAGGACCAGCTGGCCATTCAGAAGCTGAAGGAGCGCATTCTGCAGC